GCTGATGTTTCAACGCGGCAGCTTAAATAGAGCGATGATGCAAATAGGTTAATATTATTATTATTATTATTATTATTATTCATTTATTATATTATTATTATTCATTTAAATTAACTCATGTTTGATTAATTGGAAGAACAATTTTACTTTTATCTATGCAGCTGCACTTTTAGGATATGTACTTCCATGAGGTCAAATATCATTCTGAGGAGCAGTAATAGTAATTACTAATTTGTTATCAGCATTTACTTATATTGGACAAATATAATTGTTGAATAAATTTGAGGAAGATTCTCAATTAATAATTCTACATTAAACTGATTTTTTTCTTTACATTTTATTTTACCATTAATTATTTTAATACTACTTTTTATTCATTTAATAATTTTACATTCGTCAGGATTCTCAAATCCTATTAATTCAAGATTAAATTATTTTTTATCCATATTTCTTTTGATTAAAGATTTAATTACAATTTTTCTTTAATTCTATTAATTTTTATATTTATTAATTTTCAGAATCCATGTATATATCAAGTGATCCAGATAATTTTACGATCGATATACGTAGGTATGTCGATAGTGAAACTTTTTCATACTTCCATCCTGCGTTTCGAGAAATTTTTGTTCAACGATCCGGAAAAATTGCAACCTTTTTCAATTGATTGTAATTGTTGCTACATATATATATATATTTCGTGAATACGACAATGAGATCAGAAGCGACGTGCTTCGCATGTAGCGACGCATGACGTATGACAGGAATCCTTTGAGGAGCATCTGGAAGCTGATTTCCACGAAACGACGGAATATACGTATGCAAACCGGGATCGAATATTTCCACGATCATTGAATCCGTAGAAAGGAAGGTCGCAGCAGTATCTCAAAGCAAACTGAGTTGAATAAATCAAAGGCCATTCCGGGAGCAACAATTTGATATGGGGAAGCTCTCGCGTAGCCCTTTTGCCACGATAGGAAATACCATCGACGCACAAAAATTCGCGTCGGAGAGCACGAATCGAATGAAATTCGCTCGGGAACGATGAAATCCCATGCAAAAACGATGAAATCGCTTGGCAATAGTCGCAGGCATCGCTTGATTATTGAAATTACAAATGCAAATAATTGCCAGTGTCTTTTGACGAGATATTTACCTGTTGCATTATCATTGAATAGATTCCACCACACGATAAATTCGTCAGTTATCACGGAAGAAGTGTCTGATATCTAAAAATACCAAACAGGAACGTGAAATACTTGCTCGTTTGCCTTGGAGAACTTGTTTTGCATCATCTACCAACAATTTATTTACACTGGAAGGATCACATCAAATAAAATGATATAGTTTTAATCTCTGGAAAAATAATTCCACTCCACTGTTTTTTGATACTTTCGTAAGAAACAACGAGAAGTCTAGTTTACGTGAATTATTTCAGTGACTGTCTTCAAAAAATTTTTTCTTCTGAAATTCTTTTGCTCTTTTTACATTATTATTATAGCTTTCACTCTGAGTAGCTGTTCAGATGTTACACTATTATATGATCGCATCATCATCGAATAGTATACGTTCGTTATAATTATCAGCAAATTATAAAAAAAGAGGAAAGTACAAGGTGTTGGTTAGATGTTCTCTCAGAAGAGACAGTCGAGTTAAAGAACAAATTTCCATTTCCTACATGCGCCATTTTCCATTTTCTTTCTGTATAAATTGCAAAAAAAAAAGAAGAAGAAAAAAGAGAGAAAAAGAAGCATGCACAGGCACGTCAATTATTTTCGTTGAAGCATAATTTAGCGGGCAACGTAAAAATCTGAATCAATCTAACGAGGAGGACCTCTGGGGCAAGTAATTATTTTTCCCGTCCAATAAGTAAGGTTCAATTGAATTTGTAGTTAAATCGATTGATGGCCAGCCAAGGCCGGACCGTCTATTAGCCAGTTTAATTAGCAAGTCCCAGGGGTCCGGAAATAGGGCAGCCGTAACGACGTTTACAGGCGTCATCGTGCTCGTTCGCTGCCTGAACGTGCAACATTTATTTCAAGCAGTTAACGAACAGCTTGCAACAGAAAAAAGAAAAGAAGAGCAAAATGTCTGAAATATCAATTATGTAACACGATGAAAGAGGAGCCTTGCTCTTCTTTTTCTTTTCTTAGAAAAAAAATTAGCAAAATTAGAAATCAAAGACTCGACGCGAGTGTTGTTATTAGCACGATGACAGCCGGCACCGTGAAATAAAATTTCATAAATTAATTCGACGAGATGTCTGCACGCGTTGTGAAGTCATGAATCGTCTTGAAATGCAACTCTGGCCATCAGAGTATTTGAAGGAAGTT